TCAGAGAATTTGACACTAGTCATACAGTCAATTTGACTTATTTTTGACTGGGATCACGTGTCATCTAAAACTCTATAAGAGTTAAATTTAGTTTTTTACTGTATATTGATAATTTCTAGCATTTCAATGTTTGGGCTCCGTTGCTCTTAAAAAGGTTTTTGTACCTCTGAACTTAAAGGGTACCACAGCTGAAGCTCTCAGTTAAATCCTAAGCTTTTCTTTTCACACAGGCATTTAAATACATCTGGGTAAAATAAAGCAAACAGATAAAAAGGAGGCAGCAGGACATTGAAAAGACTCAACTTTACTTTATACTTAATTGATCCCAGAGGAAATTGCTTCATTCTGACACATATTTACTTCCATAATGCTGCTCTATTCCCACCATATATACAGTTTCTGTAATATATTTATTATATAGTTTACACTAAATACAGGAGGATCTTGTGTTTGTATGAGTTGGACTTAAGATTTAGAGGCTGCAGTGTCAGAAGGATGACCATTTTCTAGCTCAACTGTGGGAAAATGTATCAGTCAAACGTGCAGAAATACACATTCTTGATGGTTCTCTGAAGTCAGGGGATATAAAGTTGATGTATGATGAATTGAAACTGGGTCAACTCTTAGCTTCATGGATTGAGTTGGTGATGCAGGTTACCCTAAAACAGTCCAATAATAACAAAGAACCGCCTTCTGCAGCCTCTTTGTTCCACACACAACGCCTGTCAGCACACAGCTGTGACTGTATAGTGGTCAGTACTCTGCGTTGTGGTCACAGTAACCCCGGTTCGAATCCGGGTCACGGCAAGCTGGTCAAAGTGTTTGATGTCCACTTTTTTTTAGACAAATGAGCTGTTTGGTGACCGTAGATTGAGCTGTGCGTTCAAAGCCCACCATGTACTACAGTCTAAGGAGGAATCCAATCTTGTAAAGAGATGACCGAGGAGATTTTAAAACCCAAGGTTCCACTGAGACTTGAACTCAGATTGCTGGAGTCAGAGTCCAGAGTGCTGACCATTACACCATGGAACCCGTTAGGATGTTTAGAGAAACAACCCTCTACCAGGGGAGCATTTATCACCATCCTGCCTCCCTGTCATGCTGTAGAATACAATGCTTGAATCTTAACATCACAAAGGCCACAATGACATCAAACAGTTCCATCGCTATGGTAATAGTAACATCAAAGGTTGTCAACTCTACACAGTGGACAATAAGAATGATGCTGCTCTGACTTTTGACCAGCAGGTGGCAGCAGAGATGACTGTTGAAGAGCTTCCAGCACTGAAGCCTTTTCCATCCAAGCTGCAATGTTTCACAAAGCTTCATTTACTTTATAAAAAAACTAACCTACTGTTTGGATTATAAAAGAGGAAAAAGTCTAGGAAGACATTGTGGTGTATTGAGTTTCTCTTAAAGTGACATATGCATTTAATGCTTTATTATTATTTTTATAAGAATTATTTTCTTATATTTGTGCCATATAGTTTTAATGTCTAAGTCAACGGTAGAAGCTGTGCTTTTGCTGTGAGGTCTCTAGCTCCACATGTCAGTAACCATGGAGCCCCAGCTTCAAATGGACCATCACTACTCTTCAGTCTCTGAACTGATTCTGGATCAGTGTGGAGCAGTTCTTCAACAGAGTCTCCTGACCCCTGCTGAGTCCTGCCTCCATCTAGCTCCAGTGGTGAAATCAACTTTTTAAGGCTAACCTGTGTCTGGTTTTTGATCTGGTCATTACAGAATGGGCTTCATTCACTGCATAAGGTGGACAGTGAAACTGATTTATTGTCAGCACAGACATGATTTTCATCTCTGTGACGTTTTATTAAACAGAAATACTTTAATAATCCCAGAGGGAAATGATTTAATATCATATCATATCATCCATTTTATGATATTCAGATTTTGTCATCAAAGGTAAAGTCCTTGTTGAGCATTCCAATAGAAGCAGAATTTGAGTTAGTAAACTTAGAGATCTATTTTCCTATATAATACTGTATAATATTATGATGACAGCTGGGCTCCATTTCCATAGCTACTAACGAGGCCCTGTTCTGTGTGTTAAGCATGCACACATGCAGCCAGCAGATAGAAACATGTAGCAACACACATTTAATGCAGCTAACACACAGCCAGTATTTGGAAACATGTAGTGACACACATTTAATGGAGCTAACACACAGCATTCATACTGTTCTGTTCAGCGTCAGTTTACTTGGATTCAAATGTGTTTGAGTTTCACTTCTTCCATTTGGAAAGCCTTGCTGTGACTTTAGTATCTTTAGCTGCTTTCTGTTCTCGTAAAGTCTCTCTACTGTCTGTGTTTTTTCTGAATAGAATCAGAAAAGAAGAACCTGCAGAGTCCTCTTAGTCTCTTTCCAGATGTTGGTCCTCTGTCTTTCACCCAGTTTGTCTCAGGTCATGAAAACAGTCTGAGAGGTCAAAGGTCAGTCTGGATGGTCAGGAAAAGCAGCTTCCTGGAAATTCAAGGTTCTGCTCAAAATCTGTAGTGAAGGTAACCCCCTCATGAGTGGGTTTAATGAAACAGTGATGAGAGATGCCTTTGATCAGCTGAGCTGCTGCCATAACAACTGCTGTCAGTCCCAGAAAAATGGAGGATGTGATCCTTCCTAGATTCTCTGGTTGTGGACCCTCTGGTTGTGGACCCTCTGGTTGTGGACCCTCTAATTGTGGGCCATCTGGTTCTGGACCTCTGGTTGTGGACCCGATGCTGCTCTGTGCTGCTGTCAGCTAGACCCTTCCCAAAAAATGGTGCAAATAAAGGCAGAAAATAGGAGCTTTTTGGACAGCTAGAGGCAGAATGTCTGTTTATGTAAAT